GGTTCTGTATGCTGCGCTCGAATTTCGCATTCTCTGATGGCTACTGGGGGGCGAAACTCTAATCTTGCGATATGGGATTTAGATAATCCGGCACAGCCTGTATTTTTTGCAAAGAACGTCAGACAAACCACGTTGCAGTTGGAGGTTCCGATATGGATATCTGACATATGTTTTGTTCCAAATTACGACGGGCGCATTGTCCTGACCACTTCACGATATGGCGAGGTTGGTGCTCATTTTCATTTTGCTTACACACGGAATTATCTGTAAGATTTTCCCACCAGGTTGACGTTTATAGCTGTGTTTGTAGGTCTGGTTTAGTCTCCGATTTCCACCTAGCGTGGAGTGGGTTTTTAGACGGCTTAGTTCATGAGTTTCGTGGATATTTCCTTCTCGGTAATGACTCCAAAGAAGCCAAGCAATTCTGGTCGATCTGGTGTGGTTGTAATAGGAGGCGAAGGGAATTTAAACTTAGCGTGTGCTATGCACAGCGTCCGACTTTTTTGGTCTAGGGCTTCAAACACGATAGACTAAATCCAGGTTCAATTTCAGCACTCTAACAGGCATCAAACCATCCAATTGTGATGCATAAGCTGGTAAGATGACCGGTATTTTACCAGGTTGCCCAAACCGAGACAGGTGCAACCGAAGATCATATCCCCGGTGACATGAGAACATGTCTAATACGAAGTTTCGATTATGGCAACCGGTTTTGTCAGTTAGACGAAACCGAAGTACTTCCTGTATGGCGAATGTGCAATACTCCTACGTCAAATTGTAAGCTGGGTATTATCTCGCACTTAGACAGGATATAGCGCCGCTCATCTTTCGATCGCGGGATCCACATCACGCGGTCACACGTACTGACTGGCTCCTCGAGCAACGACTTCTCATATAGAAGTTTCACTCATCGGGTGAAGTTTATTCTTCCACTGAGCTACTTATATATTGTTGGTAGTGTGAGGAGATTTGGGATTTTTGCGGAGATTTCGTCCTGTAAGTGAAGCCAATCTATGCTGAAAAGCCGTGAAGCACTGTACAGCTGTTTCATCCTTATTGGGAATCATCAGCAGTGCGCATCTCACGATGAGTGAACCTGATGAGCGAAACTTCTATCTGAGAAATGAGTGAACTGAGCGAAACTTCTATCTGAGAAGTCGTTGCTCGAGGAGCCAGTCAATATGTGTGACGGCGTGATGTGGATCCCGTGAATGAATGAAGAGCGGCGCTATATCCTGTCTAAGTGAGAGTTAATCACACTGCTGATCAGCCACTCGTGGCCGAACGGTCAAGTGTTCAAGCTACTAGCCGGGAGGTCGCGGGTTCCAGACTATTCGGAGTTTCGTGAGATGCGCACTGCTGACGAATCCCAATAAGGATGAAACAGCTGTACAGTGCTTCTCGGCATTTCAGCATAGATTGACTTCACTTACAGGACGAAATC